CCTTTCTGTCTCCTTTTGTCTCCTCAGGAGTCTCCTGGTGTGCCCGTGCGGCACCTAAAGAACCGCTTCGATGTCTCCTTAGTCTATGACTCATCCGTTCACAACTCCGCAGCACTCAGCGCGGGGCCCTTGCAAAGTATGTCTCCTAGTTTAGGGTTTAGGATTTAGGGTTTGGGGTGTGGGGTTTAGGGTTTAGGGTTTAGGGTTTAGGGTTTAGGGTTTAGGGTTTAGGGTTTAGGGTTTGGGGCTTAGGCGTGGCTGCTGGGGGACGCACGAATGAAATCTTAAGATACCGCAGCAGTGTGGGTTCGAGGCATGTGATGCATGCACAAGGGTTTAGGGTTTAGGGTTTAGGGTTTAGGGTTTAGGGTTTATTGTGCATGCAGATCTTCAACTTCGCTTAGCTGCTGGGGAGTATGAGCCGATGATTTATATTTCAGATTTTTGGCTTATAGAAAAAAACTTTATTCCTATTAATGACACCCTCGTTGTACGTCTCTGCTTGTCTCCGTTTGTCTCCTTTTGTCTTCTTTTTTGTCTCCTTTTGTCTTCTTTTTTGTCTTCTTCTGTCTTCTTTCTCGTCTCCTTTCGTCTTCTTTCTTGTCTGCTTTTGTCTCCTTCTTTGTCTCCTTTTGTCTTCTTTTTTGTCTTCTTTTGTCTTTCTTTTTCGTCTCCTTTTGTCTTCTTTTCTGTCTCCTTTTGTACTCTTTTGTGTCTCCCTTTGTCTCCTTTTATGTCTCTTTTTGCCTCCTTCGGCCTTCATCTTTGACTCCGTTTGTTTGCTTTTCTGTCTCCTTTTCTGTCTCCCTTCCATCTCCTTTTCGTCTTTCTTTTTGTCTCCTTTTGTCTCCTTTTTGTCTCTATTTTTATCTCCTCCTGTCTCCTTTTGTCTCCATCTGTCTGCCTTTGTCTCCTCTTGTCTCTTTATTTGTCTCTGTTTGTCTCCTTTTATCTGCTCTTGTCTCTTTTTGTCTCTGTCTGTCTCCTTTTGTCTCCTTTTGTCTTCTTTTTGTCTCCTTTTGAATTATGCAATTAACCGTCTCCTTTATTTTGCTGGATAGCAGTTTCTGTCTCCTTTTTGTTTTTGCTTTCACCTTTGCATGCGTTAGTGTGCATGCATCTCGATCTAAACCCTAAACCCTAAACCTTAGGGATTGTTTGCATGCGTTATGCAGGAGGAGCCCCCTAAACTAACTGTCTCCTTTGGAGTTGGTAGCGTGCATGCGTGGCTGCTGCAGTCGCAGATGGCTGGGGTGCAGCAGCAGCAGCAGCAATTAGGGCTGCAGAGCGAAAGAGAAAGTTTTATGTTTAAAAGAATATTATTAGAGACAAATCCTTTTATGCTCGCTTTCTCGGGTTTGTTTATTCTCGCTCACTCTGTCTTCTCCTTCTTCGCATTTAAAAATGGTAGGGGCCGAAATATAACAAAAAAGGAGACACTAAGAGAAGAGACAGATATTGAAGAGACAGAGAACACAGAGAGAGACATAGAAGAAGGAGACAGAGAGCAGAGAGAGAGAGAGACAGATATTAAAGACAGAGAGCAGAGAGAGAGACAGACAGACAGAGAAGGAAGAGACAGCGAGCAGAGAGAGACAGACATTAAAGAGACAGAGAGGAGACAAAAAGGAGACAGGGAGGGGACAGTTAAGAGACAGAGAGGAGACAGTTAAGAGACAGAGAGGAGACAGTCTCTTCGCTGTCTCCTTTCTGTCTCTTCTTTATCTCGTCTGTGTCTCCTTTTTGTCGCCTGTCTGTCTCCTTTCTGTCTCATTTACTCTTTCTGTCTCCTCTATTACTTCTTTCTGTCTCCTTTACTCTTTCTGTCTCCTTTAATTATTTTTTTTGTCTCCTTTTTGCAGATATGCAGTTCTGGTATAAGAATGAGTCGATGGAGGGACTCTCCGCTGCGTCTCTAATATTTGGATTTGCATGCGAAGTAAGCAGTCATTGCATGCGCTTTGGGGCTTTTAAAGCAAACCCTAAACCCTAAATATACATGCATGCATATTATCTTGATGCATATTGCGCTTCTCTTCCAGGGCTCCTAAACCCTAAACCCTAATTGCATATTAGTGCAGATCAGATTGATGCATACTTTCTTCTTTTTTAGGGTTTCTTCACTGTGGGGCTGTGCAGCTGTGCTGCATGCAGCATGCATGCAGTATGCATGCAGTATGCATGCAGTATGCATGCATTCAGTGTGCATGCATGCATACTGCATGCATGCATGTGGGAATGCATGCATGTGGGGCTTGTTTATGTGCAGGTTATTATCGGGTTGTATTTGTTTGATAGCCAGGAGACATCGTGGCTGATTCTCTTCGAAGTCCTCATCGGCATTGGTGGGCCCACCGTTTAGGGTTTAGGGTTTAGGGTTTAGGGTTTAGTACATGAGTTAGAGTGTCTCCTTGATTCATATGAAGGGATTGTATGCGTGGTTGTTTGCATGCATGTGTTGTGGGGTGTTGTTCATTCATGCATGCATGCATGCATGCATGCATGCATTTTATGTTTTTATTGTTTTAATTTGCAGCAATATCTGGATGGAAGCTGACGAAGGCAATGAAGATAGAAAGAACAAATAAGTTTCCTTTCATTAAATTATCTTTTACTCGTAGTTATGCAGAGTCTGCAACCAAAGATTATGATAAAACAGCTATTACCTACGCTAGCATTGCTCTCGCTCCTTGTGTACGTACACCGCAATCGCAAACTCATGCTGCTGCTGCTGCTGCTGCTGCTATTATTATTCTTGTTATTAATGCTATTGTTATTATTGCTGTTGCTGCGGCTGCAATCCTGCGGCCACTGTTCCTTCTGCTGCAGTTGCTGCTGCAGTTGCTGCTGCTGCTGCTGCTGCAGTAGAAGCAGCAGAAGAAGGTGTTATGCTGTTTGCTGGTTTGTTGCTTACTTGAAGGGCTTTGCATGCGTTTTGGGGCTTTTGCTGCAGCTAGTCGGGTATGCGGTGTACGCGCTGCTGCACAACAAATATAAATCGTGGTACTCTTATATTCTTTCTGTCCTTGCAGGCTCCGTATACACCTTCGGTAGGCTTAGGGTTTAGGGTTTAGGGTTTAGGGTTTAGGGTTTAGGGTTTAGGGTTTGATGTCCCTTTGTTCCCTTATCTCGTTCTGCGATTCTTTTGTGTCTCTTCTCTTGGGGCGTCAAACTTTTGTCTCCTCCTCGCATAGTTTGTATTTGTCTCTGTCTCTCGCCGTCTCTCGCTGTCTCTTGCTGTCTCTCTTTGTCTCTCTCTGTCTCTCTCTGTCTCTCTCTGTCTCTCTGTCTCTCTCTGTCTCTCTGTCTCTCTCTGTCTCTCGCTGTCTCTCGCTGTCTCTCGCTGTCTCTCTCTGTCTCTCGCTGTCTCTCTCTGTCTCTCTGTCTGTCTCTCTCTGTCTCTGTCTCTCTCTGTCTTTCGCTGTCTCTGTCTCTCTGTGTGTTATGTGCATTTGTCTCCTTTTGTCTCTCTGTCTTTTTTCGTCTCTTTGTTTATTTGTTTGTCTCTTTGTTTATTTGTTTGTCTGTCTCTTTGTTTGTTTATTGTGTTTTTTAATATAGTCAGTCTCTGTTTATATTCTTCACACTCTATCTCTGTCTCTGTCTGTCTCTTTATCTGTCTCCTTTTGCGTGTCTGTCTCTCTTTGCTGTCCCTTAGCATTATTTATTTATTTATTTTTCTGTTTTTCTTTGTTTTGTTTTCAGGGTTTGTTCTCATGACCCCACAACTCTACATTAATTACAAACTTAAATCTGTAGATCATTTGCCCTGGAGGGCCCTCATCTACAGGCAAGCATCTGCTGCTGCTGCTGCTGCTGCTGTTGCTGCTGCTGCTGTTGCTGCTGCTGCTTCTGTTGCTGCTGTCGCTTCTGTTGTTGTTGCTGCTTCTGTTGTTGTTGCTGCTTCTGTTGTTGCTGTTGCTGTTGCTGCCTCTGTTCCTGCTGCTGCGTCTGCTGTTTGTGCTGCTGTTGCTGTCCGTGCTGCTGCTGCTGTTACTGTTCGTGCTGCTTTTGCTACTGTTTGTGCTGCTGCTGCTGCAGTTCGTGCTGCTGCAGGAATATAGTTATTGCAGGCTATTGTGTATTTTTGTGTTTTGTTTGTTTGGGGTGTATGCTCAGGTCTTTAAATACTTTTGTTGATGATGTAGCTTCGTTCTTAATAGATATGCCTCTGATGCATAGGCTGTCTTGCTTTAGAGACGGTGCGTACACCCGAATGAACAAGCAGCAAACAAGGAGGAAGCTGCATGCATGCATTGCCTATCTCTTTGTCTTTCTATTTATTTACAATTTAAATGCTGCTGCATGCATTCCTTCTGCATCCAGTGATATAATATACACTCGAAATGGATGCATGCATGCATGCATGAATGCATGCAGGAATAATAAAGCGTACACTGGAAATGCATGCATGCATCCATTTCTATGACTGCATGCATTTCTATGACTGCATGCATTTCTATGACTGCATGCATGCATGCAGTCATAGAGAACGTACACTGGAATTGCATGCATGCATGCATGCATGCATGCATGCATGCAGCAGGTTTGTGTTGCGTGCAGATATAATATTTATAATATATTTATACCAGCGCTGGATATATCGCGTTGATAAATCGAGGGGCCCAGGGGCTCAGACAGCAGAGACAGCAGCAGCAACACCCGCATCAGGAAGTTTGCAGGAGACTCCTGCTGCTGCTGCTGCTGCTCCTGCTCCTGCTGCTGCTGCTGCTGCAGCAGAGGGGGAGGAGAAGAAGGAGACAGCAGAAAAAACAGCTGTTGGAGACACGTGCACAGAGGAGACTCAGGGACTCAGAAGGAGACTACCAGCAGCAGCCAGCAGCAACACCAACGCCTAACAGTCATGCAGCAGCAGCGGCAGCAGCAGCAACAGCAGCAGCTGCGGCAGCAACAGCAACAGCAACAGCAGCAGCAGCAGCAGCAGCAACAGCAGCAGCAGCAGCAACAGCAGCAGCTGCAGGAGGTGCACAGCTGCACTCCGAATATGCATGCTGTAAAATTGTATAATGCAATATTTTATTATATATTATCATTTCTATTAGATGCGTGATAATAGAATAAGAAGTATTCTTATTATTAATTAAGACAAGCCTACTTAATATGAATATAATGTATATATATATGCATATATGTATATACATATGTACATATATATATATTTATATATATTTATTTATTTATATACAAACAAAAGCGATAAAGATATAACAAAATGGTGTATATTATATATATTGCATTATTTATATGTATATCTATATGCATATAAAATAATATATATTATATGCATGTACATGTATATCTCGTTATATCTTAGTCTATGCATTATATATATCTTATTTATACTGTATTATATGTGCATATAATAGCTACATATATATATAATATATATAATATATATATAATATATATATTTATATACATTTATCTTCAATCTCCTTAGCATATGTATTGCATATATTATATATATATATGAGTGTACAGTATACGATATACGCATATATATATTCAATATAATATATATATACATATATATATATTTATTTATATATATACTTATATATTTATCTATTTATTCTTATATATTTATATTTACCTTCCTAATGCGTGCATACATAAGATAGCATAGACACCACCACGCACTGTATATGCAGAGAGTAAATAATATATTATTTATTATATGCATATACAGATTATATATTATTTAAAGACCACAATATCTTTATTATCTATTTATATAATATATATACATATATTAATATGTATAATATGCGTTGAATATATCTTAGATACATATATACTCTCTGTCTCTTTATCTATCTATCTATCTATCTATATATCTCTATCTGTATGTATATATATGTTTATATATATATATATATATATATATTTGTTATACATTAAATATATTCTACATAATACAGAGAAGATATAAACACATGCATTAAAAAAATCTGCTATTGCAGATATTATTTTATTTGTTTTCAGTGTATGTACAGCTTCTACATTTATTTATCTACATACAGATGAAAACGCATGCATTAAATATATTTATTATTCTTCTTTGAACTTTCGTCTAATAACTCCTTGCATGCAGCACAACAATGCATGCAACTCACTCAGAGGTGAATGTACACCTGAAAACAAATGTATATATATATATATGTATATGCAGATATATATATATATATATATGAAGATGCATCTATATATATATGTAGATATAGATATAAAGATATAGATGAAGATAAAAGGATACAGATATAGATGTATAGATATAGATATAGATATATAGATATAGTTATACATATGCATATACTCATACATACACGTATGCAAATACACATACATATACGTATACATATATATATGCATATACACATATATAATATAAAATAAATTATTTATTTATGAGGAGACAGTTCTTGAAGTGTCGCTTAAAAATTTATCAATTATAAACCCTCGACGATAGAGACAGCATCAAAAGACCCGCAGGAAGCTGAGGCAGCAGCAGCAGCAACAGCAGCAGCAACAGCAACAGCAGCAGCAGCAGCAGCAGCAATGCACCCAACAATACCATAAGTAGAAGCAGTAGTAATAACAGCAGCAATAAACAATAGCAGCACTAGCAGCAGAAGCAGCAGCAGAAGCAGCAGCAGAAGCACAAGCAGCAGCAGGAGTCTCAGCTGCTGCAGCAAGAGCAGCAGATTGTAGAGAACTAGGCGAGGTGTATATCCTCTGACTGAGGAGAATGCTATAAATAATATAATATATTATTATAAAATATAAAAAGTATAAGACACAGCTCATAGTGAAGCTAAGACAGTTTTAAAAGCCCTTGAAGCATAAAACAGAAACAAACAAGCAAAGAAAAACAAACAAAAAAGTAAAGAGAATTAAAAAGATAATTATATTGCAGCATATTAAAGGATACACGAAAGAAAACAAATTAATCTGCATGCATGCATGCAAAGTATAATGCAATATATACGCAATCTAACTTCAAAGCTGCGGTGTATGTACACCATAGCGGGGTACCCCTGATCAATATATATATACATATATATATATATATATATTAGTATCGTTATGCTTTAAAAGCAGCAGAAGCTGCTGTCAGAGCAGCAGCAGCAGCAGCAGCAGCAGCAGCAGCAGCAGCAACTCCAACAGCAAGGGATGCAGCAGCTCAGTACCCAACAAAGAAAGAAGTAGCAGCAAGATAAGCAGCAAAAGTTTTAATATATTTTCTACTAACACAACGTGCATTAAGAATAAAACATCAAAAGGAGATGCTGCAGGAAGAAGTGTTGCTGCAGCAGCAGCAGCAGCAGCGTATACAGCTGGAGACTGTCTCCTCTGTCTCTTTACTTTCTCTGTGCTAGGAGACACCCAATTGAGAGCTGTATGTCTACTAATGCAGGTTAGTTCATGCACGAGAAGAAAGATTGCTTGTGCATGCATGCGTACGGGGCTGTCTTGTTGATAATAGCTGTTTCTTCTCTTCTTTATTATATGTTGTCTTCTAGGGTGTACAGGGTATATGAGATTAGGAAGAAGGTCTAAATAGAAATAATATTATTGTTTTATCTTCAACAATATTATTTTATCTGTCTTCTTACAGTCTTACTGTACTCCTAAGCTACGAGAATTTTTATTATTATTGAAGTGCTTTGGAGTGTACGTTGAGCTCATCACCGACACAGACACTAAATAATTAATTAAAAATATTAAATTAATTTATTTATATTTTAATTGCATATAATCTTCACTGGGTAAGACAGAGAAGTAGAAGAAGCTTCGCGTTGCTGCTGCGTCAATAGGAGAGGTAAGGAGCATTAAAGAAGTTTCTGCAGTGTATGTATAGACAAATTGAATAATAATAATAATATTATTATTATTAATTATATTTTATATAAAATAATAAAAGAAGAATAACTTCTGTGCTGCCAGCCCCACTGCTGCTGCATGCATGCATGCGCGGGGCTGAGAGCCTAGGGTTTGCTCTCTCAGTTTATAAATACTTTTTGAGTTGTCTGCGGGGTTTTTGTTTGTTTTCATTGTATAAGAATAGGAGTAAATGAAATAATATATTATATTATATCTTTATGAGTATTTTAGATATAATTATTGTAGCTTTATCTTCATTTTTTCTACTGTATAGGCAAGAGTTTGTTGTGTCGGTGGGCGATGTGATGTGTATGTTTTGTGTGTAGAATATTGATTTTTGAAGATAAAAAAGAGAGAAAAATAAAGTAAATATATAAAAGAATCTGAATATTGGTTTAATTCTTCAGAATATCTTCATAAAGATGTCTCAATCAACCCCTTCAAGTAATAATAATAATAATGAAGCCGTGGGGCGAGCCTCTAGGAACAACTTAGGTGATATGCGTTTCTATGAGCGTAAATTTCCGAATCTAGAAGAGTTAGTGATGGTTAAAGTACAAAGAATAGCAGAAATGGGTGCTTACGTCTCTTTATTAGAGTATAATAATATGGAGGGCATGATTCTAATGTCCGAACTCAGCAAAAGAAGGTTTCGATCGGTCACGAAGCTTGTCAAGGTTGGTAGGCTTGAAGCCGTTATGGTTCTGAGGGTTGACGCAGTTAAGGGGTATATAGATCTCAGTAAGAGCAGGTAAGCATATACGTATATATATATATATATATATATATATTTATATATATGTATGCATATATATATATATATGTACGTATATATATATGTATATATATATGCATGCATATATATATATGTATATGTATATTATATATATACTTATTTATTTATCTTCAATCTCCTTAGCATATGTATTGCATATATTATATATA